AGATTCAAGAAAATATCTAAATGGACCAACTAGTGCAAAACTTGAATGCTTTTTTCACGTGATAGTTGAGGTTACATTTAGAAAGTGCGGGTCCACTTAAATGACACTGACAAATATAAACACATGAGGCTTTAAGACTAGACTTAGTAACAATGGAGGAACTTAAGAATGCGTTTATATTCCCGATATTACTTAAAATTCTTTGGATTAAAAAAGAGAGGTATCTTGAAACGACATACTTTATAGTGGACATCACCAAATAAACAACTTAAGAGTTTGTCAATATTTATGGTTTAATTTAAATTTATCTATTCTTAGCAGTCGAAGCTAGCATTTTGCATCACTCAATAGCATAGTGTCCGTTAGATATTGCTTGGTTAAACAAATAGCGCCTAAAAATTGTAACCTGGTAAAATTAACCATGCTTTGTTCCGAAATTTTGTCTTTACTCTAGTAATTACTTAATTGAAGCCTATCCTTTGTAATAAAGAAGATATTGAGAAGGTTAATTTTATCAGTTTCATATTTACCTTTGAAATATACTGCATTCAGAAGGCCCAACTTGTAATCTGGCGTTATTTCTCGAGCCATTATAATTTCATTTACAGTATTATTTGTGTTGTCGGCGCACCATCTATTGATTTCATCCGCCGCCGCTTGAGAATTGCCGAAATCGATCTATAAAAATCAATAATAAAATAATTTCATGTATTATCTTTTGTATCGTAACTTTCAGCCCATAAAAATCGAAAGCAGATGCAGGTAGCCCTGCCTTAAAATCTAGCCTAGGTGACTATTTCATTTCACCAGTAAAATTTAGCATTTTGATAAACAAAAATTATTTGCTATATAATTCTAGAATTAAACTAATTCTGGGGTAAGTTGCTTGTTCCTACATTGATGAGTTAAACTAATCCTCCACCCAGGGATCCTGATGAGGCCTCTTTTAATAAGTAACAGCGCCACCTAGTACTGATTATAACATTCATAGATCGATTTTCTAGGTTTGTTTATTTATTTTTGTTATAATAAAAAACCAATTTAGGCATCCTCTTTCTTAATAACAATTCGAATGGGGTATATATTTGCATATAGAAAGGAGGTTATTCATTCGTTTCCACATAAAATTTGACTTTTGAGAGTTTATAGGGTGACTACTAAAATCAATTATGCGTGGTTTGAACCCCCTTGACCTTGTTTAGAACAGAAATGTGTAATTGCAAAATTAGCAAGTTATCTCAATACTAAAACCTGTCTGACTTACCTGCTTCACAAGGAACTTATAGTCGTCATGCAATATTGTTTGAAAGTCTTTATTAATGTTGTAACCTATCTGGTTATACATAATGCTGGCGAAGCAGAAAGTTGAATCCGGTAGAGTCAGGCAATTAGTATCACCCGTGCCAACTGTTTGCTGGAGAACCTTCAAGAAGTAGGTGCCGTATAAACTTTGGAGTTGCGGAATCCTTTCAGGAGATATGTCAGAACAGGTAAGCAAGTTCACTTTAGTATTGCCACCGTCCTTCTCCGTCTTTTCTACCAGATAGTCACCAAGCGTGACTCCAACTCTCGGCTCGGAAATGTGGCTAAATGGAATGCCGATCAACTGGTCAAGACCCCTCATAACTTGGCTCTGTGACTTCCCCCCCAAGCCTCGGCCACCTATCATTGAAGCAAGCAGAAGCATAATGCCGAGTGGAGAGACAACCACATTGTTCGCCCCATTCTCGGCAGGCACCATGGGAGGGAAGAGGCTGCCGTCTAATGCCGACAAAGAATCACCTAACGTTAGGCAGAAGCATAGGAAAAGCACGGAAATTGGTTGAGAATTAAATGAGATCCCGAATCCAAAATTACTTACAAAAATGATATAATAACTATTTTTATGGAAAGCATCTTGTTAAAATGACTTATGTTTCACATATTAACAGTAAAATAGCCTTAAATTGCATGCACTTGTTTAGCAATTAATGTGCATTTAGTTCATTTTTTGGTTATAACGTAAAAATTGAATTTCCCATATTTATGTAATCAGAATCGTCATATAAGAGATTGTGAGTGCTACAGATGAATATGATATTTTGCCTTTTTGAGGTATTTAGCTGTATAGTAATAGTAGGTCAAATAAAGGCTGAATTCTTTTATTGCTACTTTGCTGTTAAAAAGCCTGTATTATGTTCTGGTCCAGACAATACATTGCATTTAA